TATTATATTATATTATAAGATATAACTACTATATAATTATTTTAATTATATTATAATATTGAATGATAATTATGGAAAAAAAAAATAAAAAAAGAACTTAGAATGGCTATTCCTCCCATATGAGGAAAGAATGACGATTCACTCAAAATGGGTGAATGGTCATTCCTTTTGAATGATCATTCGTTTCTTATAAATTCAACTAAACATCAAACTAGAATTCTATTCATTTCCACCCAACCAAACACACCCTAAGAGGTGCTCAACGGCCAACCCCCTCTAACTACTTGATGATAACCCGTCTGAGTACTTGCCTCTTGACCATCACACATCTAACTATTTGAAGGTAACCCATTGGTGTACTCGCCTTTCGACGATCATCCGTCCAACTACTCGATGGTCACCTCTTGGTGTATTCGCTGCTCGACTTGTTTGGCAAAGACCACTTGTGCAAGTGCGCTCACCATTTAGCTCAAAACCGCACAATTCTTTGCATAATTTTACAAGAGTACTCGCTTCTCATACATATCACTTGCCACTTATGAAGTCGCTCGACAAATTGTCCAAGTATTAAGTTGTGCTCAATAGTCGGTCGTTTAGTAGCCGCCAGCAGTGTACGCTTTTCGAGTCGAAATTGGTATTTGTATTTCCATGAATTGGAATATATTGAATCCTATTTCATTTATTTTATATATTTTTTTTTTTTAAAGAAAGGAAGGTAGATGGCACCATTATGTTTTCATGACTTAGATATGGATGGTTTTTATTACAAACAATAGCTTTACATTTAGGCCTCGTTATTTCCACATAATTTTCTTCATCATCATCATTATTATTTTTTGCTATTTATGTGCTCGTTTTCCAGTCTCTAGGATGATTTTTGGCCTAAGAATGAAAATAGAATGAGCATGTATTTTTTTCTTACGAGTATACAGAACGACTAACAATAATTTTTTCTCTTATTTTCTCCTGTCCTCTTTGGCTTTATAATTTCTTGCAATTGTCATAACACAAATGCTAAATAGCTAAATTGCACGGCATAAATAGACACAAGAGAAATAGAAAGAAGGCTTCTTATTATTCGTCATCTTGTTGTGTACAAATACAAACTCTCAAAGGTCATATATATAGGCCAAGAATCATAGATTAGGAGAGGCCACGAGCCATAGGTTACAACAATAAAGTGCTACTGATGGTGTGTTAGTAGTTGGAACTTGAGAGGTTATGATGTTGGGATTTTCACATTAATTCTTAAAATACCACATATTTAAATAATAATTATATTACGTTATTTAATAAATTAGCTAATTACGTGGTTTAATTAGGGGAGCCTAATTAGACCTCTAATAGGATATGCGATAAATGAGTAAATACTCAATATTTATCTGATAAGGTTTAATGGGATAAGTATATAAAGATTTATAAGTTATGGTTCCTAATATGTCAAATCATTCGGTCGCTTTTTCTTCTTTCCTATCTAAAGAGAAAACCTCATTAAGTAACTTTGGTGATTTAACTGAGGAAGATAATAATCAGTTCACTAATCGTCGTAGTAATTCTGTAAAAGTGTCTATTGTGTATTATTATAGCTTTAGGTACGTTTTCTCAATTTTTCTTAATAATTTAATATGATGATTTTGGGGATTTATGAATATGGTGATTAAAATCATATTTATAATTCAAGTCTAACATATGAAGGTTTTGGAATGCCAAATATCAATAGTAATAAAAGTGGGGATAATGCAATTCATGAGGGTGTTAAGAATGTGAACATCCACAATTATTAAATCAATTTATTCATAATAGCAATGTGCTTTTTTTTTTCTTTTTTTTTATTGTTGCATAACACCGATTTAATTTTTGCTTTCATGAATTAAGAAATAATAAATTAGTTGTCACATTGCTCATAGAAAATTGAGATCCTCCTTGTGGGTATTTGCCCAAAATATAATATGGCCAATGATTTTCATTATTAAAATAAAATAAAATAAAAACGACCATGGTACCTACATTGTTGTTGGCCGAGTCATGAACCGCGGTCAAAAAGTCAAAAATTCATATAAATAGTCGGAACAGCATTTTTTTTTTTTTCCTTGACACACTTTTCAATTCTCATCGTCAAAAGAGTGGCGGCAAAGAATGGTTGACCAAAACATGAATAATAAATCAGGAAAATTTTACATTATCATTAGAGCAAATCGACGTACTAGTGCTTATACTGATATATGAGACTGCAAAAAAAAAAAAAAAAAATCAAATAATTAAAAAGCTTGTTGTACTGACATAAACACAAAGACATGCACTGCCGCATAATTTTCAATAAATAATAAGAATAAAGACAAAAATGTGATGTAATATCATGCGTTCTACTCAAACATGTTTAGACTTAAGAGACGTTTAGTTCATGGATTAGAATCATGAGATTAGAACTATTTTTGATTTACGTATATTTTTTATGAGAAAAAATACTGTAGTAAATCACGAATCATGATTCGAATCGGAGTATGAATGCCCCAACCAAACAACTCCTTAGTAAACCGTGAAAAATGCAATGGAAAAATAATGAGATGGGAAAGAAAAATGAAATAATAAGAACGTGAATTCTTGATTTTTTTTAAGTGATAGTTATTGCCTTATTGGTATACCTCATTTCTTTTGTAGTGGTTATTAAAATTAAAAATAGTGTTATCATCAACCTAATCAGTAAAAAGTCTTTTTACACAATTAAATAATCATCGATTATGTAATTATCCTTGTACACAATTAAATAATCATTAATTATGTAGTTATTTATTAAGATTGGATAAGTAAATTTATTATTCATTCTTTTTAATAGGAAATCAATTATTAAAACGTGCAAGAATTGACATTGTCTTTGTTCATTTTTTATAGGATTAATTTCAAAAATTCCCCTTGAACTATGCTCCTTATAACACTTCCCCCCTCCCGAATTTTAAAACGTAACATCCGCTCTTCGTACTTTGTTCCGTTAACAAATTTTCCTATTATGTTACCATGAGTGACAGAATTACCACGTGTCACTTATTTAATGAGATTTAAAAGTATAATTACGCTTATACCCTCCTAATCAGATTAGATCTCATGGATTAATTGACAGAATTCACCATATTTATTCCTAAAAACCAGCTCTTTTTTTCCCTCACCGTGGCGAGTTCCTGCAGTACAAACAGTGGTGTTGCCGGGGCAATCACATTTTTCGCGGCGGTTTGAGGACTTGTGTGGTTCTGCAAGTTTCGCTGCAAAAAGTTGTCAAACAAGAACTCATAAACAGGTTCCTCAGATCCATCTACACTAGGTAAGTTCTGAAATCATTTCACATTGTTTGTTGGTAAGTGTCATTGATTGGTCTCTTTCAATGTTGTCTCTTTCAATGTTGTTGGGCTAGTTGGAGCGAGGCAATTTAGAATGGAGGAATTGGAGAAAGCTACTAAGCACTTCAATGAGAGCAATCTCATAGGATATGGAAGTTTTGGCTCTGTGTACAAATGATTTCTCCGTGATGGGACTATGGTTGTCAAAAGGCGAGCAGGCACGCCTGGACAAGAATTTGCTGTAGAGGTAATATGACTAAGAACCATAGATAATAAGGGCCCGTTTAGTTAACTGATTCGAGTTTTTAATTCGAGTTGAGATGTGATTTTCTGTGAGAGTTTTTTACTGTAGCAAAAAAGTTAGATGTGATTGTTTATGAGAGCTTTTTACTGTAGTAAAACTCGAATTCTAAACTCGAATCAGCGAAATGAACGGGGCCTTAGTTACTCTACTGGGTTACTATCAAGAAAGTGGATATGAAATATTGGTTTTTGAATATTTATCAAATGGCAACATGTGCAATCTCTAATTTTTCTTTTTGGGGGAAAACTTCTAACTCTAACACAACCAACATAATTAACAGATGGATTAATCTTTTTTTTATTTACGCATTTGAGTTTTTTAATCATTTTTTAATAACCTGGGGTTTTACAGGGTATTTTAAGATAATACCCTCAGATGGGTAATGTATGTGATAAGTGACGAATTCTGTCACTCATTATAACAGAAGGAGAAAACTTGTTGACGAAACAAAGTTCGTAGGGAATGGATGTTACGTTTTAAAATTCGGAGAGTAAAGTGTTACAAGGGTCATAGTTTATGAGAAATTTTTGAAATTAATCATTTCCTATATTGTGTGAGACCTACTAAATAATCATTACTAATCGTATAAGTAAACACATTATTAGATAAAAGAGAGAGTAACTCATCACTTTTCTTTTGCATATGAAACACGTCCTTAATATATATATATATATATATATATATTTTATAAATAATGTACTTCTATATTGTATTTCTAAAAAAATTTGGCCAAACTAATAGTACAAAAAGAGAGGTGTAAACTTCTTTGTAACCAACCAATAACCCTTTTATTCTATTTCTCTAATCTTTTAAAAAGTTATTAAAAACACTGAAAAATACATAACAAAATAAGCCAACAAACAAAGAAAGACAATGTGACATTATTGAATTCTCTCTTTTCCGTCTGTTTTCAAAAGGTTTTGAAGGAGGTAAAGTGAGTAATTCAAAACTTAAATGTTAAAATGATAATAGTTAAGAAAGCCTTTTTGGTAGGACTAAAGAAAAAAAAACGTTGTAACTTGAGTTGAAGAGGAAACTTGAACTCAGATTTTAGTCTTAAATTCAAGTTCAAACTTAAATTTTACAAACAAACATGAACTTAAATAAAGTTGTAACTTGAGTTTAAATTTTTTTTGAGTTTTACTAACGAGCCCTTAATTTTTAAAGTTTAAGTTATAGTGGGTAAAAGTGAAAATGACGTTAAAGTTGAAGGGGTATGGACGAGAATAGCTTTTCCCCCCTGTTGAACAGGGCCTGTTCTGATGGGCGATGGCATGCATAAAGGGTAAAATGGTCATGTAAGTATCTTTATAGTCTTGGAATCCCCAATCTTACACACTTCTTTTCATTTCTCATCCTCTACAATCTCTCTCTCTCAAATCCCTTGTTGTTCTTCGGATAGATTTCAGTTCTTTAATTTTCTCCTGTAAGTATCTCTTCTTTTTTTTTTTTTTTTTTTCCTTTTTCTTGTTTGTTCGGTAGATTCTGGTATGTTTGGGGTCTTATCCTGCTTTTGGTTCTCGAGAAAATTTAGGATACATTGGATTTATGGACGGTATATATATATATATATATATTATATATATATTTCTTTTTTAATCTAACAGAGACGGTAATCTCCTCTATTCAATTATGAATAGCTGAAAAATCTCATAGCTTAATTAAATTCATTTGGAATCACTCTTTGTTAGGCAAGTTTGGAACTTTTCGTTTGGTGCTCACGAAGTAGATTTTGATTTTTCTTTTCTTTTCACATTTGATGTGTTTTTCTTTAACTACTGGAGGTCCTTAGTTTTCTCGGTTGTCAGATAATTCTCTTTCTCTATATGTAGTTTTATTTTCTTCTTTTAAGACGTTTGAAAAGAGAACAAATTGAGAGTTATTTCTTAATCTGGTTTAGTGATACAATAAATGCCCTTTAAAAAAAAATATTGAATTATTGGTATATATTGCTTGTAGTTATTATTCTCTTGATGTTGTCCTCTTTTTGTTGAAAATGTGTTCTTAATCTACCCTTTTGCAGGACATTAGTTAAATATTTATAGAAGGGTTATCATTGCATTCGTGGAGAATTCAATATCACAGCGAAGGAGAACAATATGCGTTGGTTGAGTTTATCAATTGATGTGTTTCGCAAAGTCGTGCGCTTGAACTTATATTGCAGGGTTATTCTGTAATTGAAACCCTTTGATTGAACCTTAATTTTCTCGTTTGTTGGCCTCTCATTTCTTCAAACTTCCATGGGATCAAAACAGGTTTTCGTTATTGCTCCTGATATTTATAGGATTAGCTGAAAGGCAGATAGTTCAAGCCTCGTTCGCGTTAAAAGTTTTTTTCCATCTGCTAGTTTTGTTCTCATTTTGATTTCAATTTCAATTTCGTCGTCTGTTCAAGTCCAATCTGTGTTTGATCCTACTATCTAGCTCGGTCATCCGCTACTTCTTTCGTGTGTTGCCTTATAGTCGACTCTGCCTTTTCTGTTCCTTATTTTTGGACATTTCTTAGTTTAAACAATATATTTGACCATTTAAATCGCACTCTAGATTGAGTGGTTTTCTCAAGGTTCAAGAGTAGTTATGGTGTGCCAAGCAGCAAGCCAAACTAGATTTCGGGCATTAAAACATGAGAATGGAATTGCAGGAAAACCAACCATTATAGTGAGAGTAATAGCATGCTTTCAACCTTTGCAGGATTGCCAGGTTAGTACAAATATATGTCTTATCATTCACTGTATCGATGAGGAACCGATATATTATTAGTTACTATTTCTATTCTCTGTTATTATGCGAGTTTGAATTGCAATCTTTCATTGCTTCATAACCCTCATTGTTAGGAATTTTAATTAATGTTGTGTTTTTGCTGCTATTCTCCAGGCTGAGTACTTCCGTCATCTGCTTAAACCTGTTACGTAAATCTGTTCCTTTATTCAGTCATTTACCAAGCCGGAAGTCATAGTTCTTTTCCTTTTCCATTCTTTGTTTTGAAAAGACGCAGCAAGTGACCATTGCATAGTGAAGGACAATTCATCTTCTTAGGTATCATACTATCTTCATTTCCTTGTAGCAACTAAATTGGTTTTTGTTCATGTCTGAGTGGTTTGCTTTATCTTTATAGGCTATTGTTTGGTTTGATGGTTAAGGCCAGCGATTCGTGGCTTTCTTCGCAGCTTTCTTCTCAGCAACTGCCTGATTTGAATTGTATGAGCACCTTGCTTGAAACGAGGCAACAGGAATGTTTGCCATTACTCACCAACCACAGCACTTGCAAGGTTTCTGAACCTGTGATGTTGCCAGGATCTACAAGTCCACGTTTGCAGAATTTGCAGACTGAACACATAGATGCAGCTCATGAGCCACTTCATTGTTTTTCTCCTGACTTCCATGCCTTAATTCCTGCTACAAACCCATATATCAACGGAAAGCAATCTACGTTGCCTTATGGTTTCAGTGGTATGGTTGTGCCGAATACAAAATTTTCGGCGTCGTGTCAGAAGGGGTTCCTTATTTTCGATCAATCTGAGAATCAAACGAGGATGATTTATAATTATGTTTGCCCTCCTACCCAGAATCCGATCATTGCCAATGTGAGAATTGATTCTGGTTATGATGTTTTGCAAATGACGGGGAATGCAGCCAAAATGGATCGAATTGATCCGATCAAGAACATTTCATGTGAAGCATCTGATGGGAATAAAGAAAGTGAGATGCATGAAGACAGTGAAGAAATAAACGCTTTGCTCTACTCTGATGACGATGGAAATGACAGCGGTGACGACGAATATGGTGAGGATGATGAAGTGACATGCACCGGTCATTTTCCTCCAATGCCAATGAAAGAGGATCATGAAAAGCATGAACACATTGGGGAATTAACAGAGGAAGTTGCAAGTTCTGATGGTCCAAACAAAAGGCAGAAAATGCTTGATGGTGGGTGCAAGAAATCATCTGCTTTGTACACTGCTAGTGTGGTAAATTTGGATGGATCTCACGAATATGACAAGGATGCAAAATCATGCTGTGCTGATGGCCAGACAGGAGTAGAGGAATCCGATTGTACTTCGGGAAACATGCGGTCCAAAAGGGATAAGATTATCGAGATATTGAGAGTTCTTGAGAGCATAATTCCTGGAGTAAAGGGAAAGGACCCGCTGTTGGTCATTGATGGAGCCATAGACTACTTGACAATTACGAAGCTTAAAGCCGAAACTCTCGGAGTGAGCTTCCTTTAAGCTTTTTGCTCCTCCTTCCATATATTAGTGGTATCTTTGGTTAAAAGTGTAGAGAATCAGATGAAAAGATGGTATCAACCGAGGATTTCTTTGCTTGAATCATTGATGAATTTGAAACGACTGAGAGTAGCTTTGGTTCTTGTGGGGTCCTCCCATCTTTGCTTTTCTCTATTCATCTGGAAAGAGCTGTACATAATGGGGCAATAAAGGAGGCAAGTATTGGGATGATATTGCACGCTGAGAGAGGTGATAAAAGAAGAAATGGTTTGTGGTTATGCTTGTTGACCAGAAATGATTATCTTTTAGCTTTTGGGGGTTATTAAAGATAAACAAAAAGTCACAAAGTTGTTTAACGCATGGGAATGGTAGTGGTGGGCTGTGCTGTAAAATGAGTCCCCCTTTTTCCTCAAGTGTTGAGAACCTCTATAGATGTGGTGCATGCGCGTTAGGTAACTCCGGTCCCACCTTCACCACCCTTATTTTTATTTATTTATGTATTTATTTTCATATCTTTGTCCTCTCTCTAGTGTTTTACCTCTTTGCACGCCTATCATGCTGGTAGAAAATCTTGAAAAGTATTGCTGAAAGTTTCTTTGACGGTGAGAGGTAGCAAGTGTTTTGATGATGAGTTTCTGGGACCCTTTCGCTTTCCTCAAATAATGTGTAATAAAGGGTTGGCTTGTTTTACACGTGGGTTGGTTAAAAGTCCTTTTGCCGTTGTACAGTAAAGTTTTAATATGTTGGCTCTCTGAAGACTGTTGAACTTGTGATATGAGTGTATGAGTGGAAAAGAAGTGTATTTGTTTTTTGTGCTGTCAGTTGCCGTTTGTGCATAATAATTGGAGTGTGAAAAATGGAGTGCTTTTAGCGGTGGTGGTAGTGGTGGTGATGTTATCTTGTATGGTTATGGGGGGTTTTGGTGGATGCTGGTGATACATATTTTGGCTCTTCTGTTGTCCGGTTGTTTGTTTGTGTTGTATTTTTATGCACGTATGCTGTATTTCACGTGTGAGAAAAGAAAGTTTCTTTGTGCTGTATTTTTATGTCTGTATGCTTGTGCTGTATTTTTACGTCTGTATGCTGTATTTCACGTGTGAGAAAAGAAAGTTTCCTTCTGCTTAGACTCTCTCTCTCTCTCTAGATACATATCTCTCTCGTGACTTTGATGAATGGTATGATAGGGACTGATGAATTTCGCTTACGTTTTTCAAAAACTGAAATCTCTGCACCAAAATATTTTGCATCACTGCTTAGCATTGTTACATAATGCTACGACATATTTGATCTTGTAATTTAGTGTGGCAACAAAAGCGTGTTTATAGATGAAAAATGTGTAACCGAATTATAATTGATTAGATGAAAAATATCAAACCGAATGATAATTGATTGATCAGGAAGTAGTTAGTGTTTCTTTTGCAAGGGGGAAAGGATAAAAATAAGAAACTTTCTCTGGTAGTCCTCATAAAAATAGACTATTGGCAGTCTTTTACTTTTTAACTGTTAAATTTGTATGTTTTGTTTTCAATCTGATGTGATTTTGATTAGATTTAACGGTTAAAAACTAAGACAATTAGTAAGGTGAACTATTAGAAAAACTCCTAAAAAATAATAGCATTGGAAGTTTAACAAATATGATTTACTATAGTAAGATGATAGCTTTGCTGTTTTCCATGAGCATTTGGTGCTTGAAAAATAAAATAAGCTAGAGATTGAAAATACTTGTCATTTTATTTTATTAGTATTTTCTTTAGAGATATAGAGTCCGTTTAGTTTGTTGATTTAAATTTTTAATTTGAGTTAAGATGTGATTTTATATGAGAATTTTTTACTGTAATAAAAAAGTTAGACGTGATTGTTTCTGAAAATTTTTTATTGTAATAAAATTCAAATTTTAAACTTAAATTGGTAAAATTAACGTGAGAACTTAAAAAGTAACACTCCTTGAGAACTTAAAATAACACTCCTTGTTTCACATCAGAAAAGTAACTTTGGATTTGATTGATTATTTCAATTCGCCTGTATGTTTCCTAATTGGGCCTCATTATTATTAGCTTTAGCCTTTTGGGTACTAGTTAGCGTAGTGGGTGGATACCAAATCTCAACAAGCAAAAGCAATATTGAGCATGAAGGAGTGGTGTTTAGTGTACCCTCTGATCATTTAAGGCCTTATGATTATCCACATTTGCAAAAAAGCTGAGATCGAATGGCTGTCAAGGAGTTACTTGACAACCATATCAAACTTGACTGATGTATGTGGGTCATCCGGCATTAAACCATATCACCATCAAGGATAACTTTCCAATACTAGTGATTGATGAACTTTTGAATGAATTGTATGGAAGTTTTCTCCAAGTTAGATTTGCGGTCGGTCGGGATATCGTTGTTTGTTCAAAAATAACTTTCTGAACTCGCGAAGGGCACTATGAATTCTTAATTATGTCTTCGGGCGTTATGGATGTGCGGTCAAATGTCAATATTTCAATGCCTTATGAATAAATTTTTCAAGCCATTTTATAGGAAATTTGTATTGGTATTTGTTGATGTTTTAGTTTACATCAGAGGGTGGAAATAACACTTGGAGCAATTGGAGGGGTTACTGAAGATGCTATCTAAGGATAAGATGTGTCAAAAAAGTCAAAGCGTTCTTTTGGCAAGAAAGAAACAGAGGATTTGGGCAAATTGGTTTTAGAACAAGGAGTCACGACTAGCGACTGATCCCACTACGATCAATAGTATGAACCTTTGGGGAAAATCCAACTCTTTAGGTACTTTGAGCAGATTCTTCACGGGATATTGTTGTTGGTGTAAAATTTCGTCCAACACAGAAACCACGTTCTTGAACTCGTATCGGATCAAATGAACACTTGAATCAGAGATGCAATTGTAACACTTTGTTTGACACTAAGAACCCTAGAAAATAAGCAAGTCAAAATAGAGAAATCAGCATGGTACTGTTGGGGTACTCTATGTTTAAGTTAGCAAATTTGGAGAGAATTTGGCAGAGTTTTGGTACTGTAAAAAGTGTGTACTTGGCTTTTCAAAATGAGAGGAATTTATAGACTATCGAAAATACTAATAGTAGTGAACAATCGAGTTTAATTCTGGCATAAATAAGAGAATTTATTTTCATGTTAGTGTTCGACGCTTTCTCTGAATAGAGGAGCGATTCAAGAATATTTGTCTTATACAATAATTTTCTATAACTACATTAATTTGTAGCATCAATCAAGGATTTAGAGATCGTTGGCTCATGGGTTCCCGTAGAGGTTCCCAAGTGGTGGTTCTGAATTTACCCTAAAAATCCCTAGTTGTTGTTCTAGATTTTCCTAACGAAGATGACAACAATGACATGTTGAAATTCTTTTATTTTTTGTGGGGCATGTGTTTGACTTATTGAGCTAGTGCAGTCAAAGTCAACATGAGTTTAATGATTATTTTATTGTGACAAAAATACCCTTCAATAGAAGGGTTATTAAAAAGAAAATTTCTATGATAGGACCAGAAAAATGAACTATTGGTAGTTCTTTACTTTTCAATCGTCAGATCTGTATTAGAAATTGTCTCTTTTGCATACTTTTGAGTTATTTGTTTCATGGGTTCAAACCCATAGTTTTGATTATGCTACAACGTTTTTCTCTCACAAAAAAAATTTAAATTTCAAAAGTCCGATTAAGACACTGGTTTGAACTCATGAGCCAAACAAACTCTTATTAATCTGTTGTAATTTTGAGTAGATCTGATAGTCAAAAATAAAAACTAAGGGTACGGAGGCCTACCAGAGAAAGTCCCTATTAAAAATTACAGAAAAATTAATAGGCCACTAACATAATTGCTTAGAAAGGACAATATTTCCCTTTTGGAATCAAAAGGACGAGGATGCAGGCAATGGCTTGAAGAAAACAATATGTGCTTAGCGGTCGTACTAACTATGCCCAGCTTTCATATAGTTTTCGTCATAAAAAATATAATGTATCAGAAGAGGGTAATATGAGCATACTCTTGCAAGAATATAAATCAAGGCCTAAAGCGTACATGAGTATATATGTGAATTACTTCTGTGCCAAAAGTTCCTTCCAACAATAAGAAAGATTTCAGTCACTTTTGTGACAAGAGTTTGCACCAAACTTGAAATTACTATTACAATAGTAATGTCACCTTGGAATAGGTCACGGCCCGCCGTTTCAAAAACAAAAAATTTCAGGCAGGTGCATGAAAGGGTTATGAGGCCGAGCATGACACGACAAAAGTTTTAAGTGTCTTAAGGGTTGTTTGATTGGCGGATTCGTTCCCTAATTCGAATCATAGTTCGTGGTTCGCTACAGTATTTTTTCTCACAAAAAATACACGTAAATCGAAAATAGTTCTAATCACATGATTCTAATCCATGAACCAAACGTCTCCTTAATGATTAGATCGCAGTGGTTCCCAACTCTTAGCAGGCTTTTAACAATGAATTTTTATGTTTTCTCATATTTTTAGGAAAGGTAACAAAGTTGTTGGTGAGTTATGGCAGTCATCTAAATCCAGATTTGTGGTGGTTTCTTCGCTCATAACTTGATGAAACAATTCATTGACGATGATATATGTCGGATTCAAAACTGCTTTAGGTCCTAGTTCTTGGAGGAATTCTTGATTTGTCTTACTTTATCTTGGAGTGGTGGGCATGTACTCTTTTTCCGTTGGTTTGATTTTTTTTTCCATTGGGTTATTTATTTATAGGGGATATTTTATTATCACAAAAAATGAATTACAAGCTTAAAATAAAGTTGCACATGATTCTAAATATTATAGAATTCGTCCCAAACGATTCGATCCACCAGTAAAACAAGAATATCACCGGGGCAAACGCGAATCCCGATACTTAATGGGGGATAGCCTGATCGACACATAAAAATAGAGTATGACCAAAGCTCGTTAAAAATGACCAAAATAGTTAATGGATTAAACCAGTCGACCAACACCCGATCCCAATTTACTGGGACATAAGTAGGATGGTATAGAGAAACCTCTAGCTGGACATCAACACCCATACCATTGAAAAACACCTCAAACGGATGAGACACACAAACCAAGCCGGAAGGTGGAGAAACCATCTCCGTTATTACAAAATAATATTTAAAGTATTGGCGAAAATAATGTCGCCACGCCGTTTTTACAAACCAAAACTTACCTAAAAACAAAAAGAAAGCTTAAAGGCCCGTTGTCACAAGCATTCAATGATGGTGCAGCCGGTGAGAGGACCACGAGCAAAGGAAGAAGGCTCCGAGAGGCAATCGATGTTGGAGGATAGAGGCCATCAAAACGCAGCGAGGAATACGCATGCGCCATCGCTGCCCATTACCAAAGACGACACTACCTTTTGCCAAAAGAAGCCCACCACCATCGAAAAAGAGCTTCTGAGCGTGGAAAATGCCTCCCAAATGTCTGGTTTCCAACCTCCACCTGAAGCTAGATATAGCCTATCACCATAGAAAAGGCCTCAATAAGACGAACTTGGGGATTGATTTTCAAAAGTGGAGGTCCAGCGATGCGCCCAGAGGCAGTGCCGAAACTCTAACCAATACCCACACTTTCTTTCTCTCTCTCTCGTTCCATTTATCTCTCTTTAACACTTTGCTCATTTCTTTCCTTTTTATTGTTTCTCTTTTTCTATTGGGTTTTACCAGTAGGATAAAGAGGCAAATAACACATTTTAGAGACGGGTTTCCATTGGGTTTTAAGTAGATGATTGAAGTAAATATTTCCACACACAAAAATATGATATTTATAGGTAAATATAATATTTATGTTGAATATTTACTAATAAATATCGTATTTAAGTCAGATAAATATATATTTATCAATAACTATGCTATTTATTTAAACTGTTCTAAATTTCTAGTATTTATTTAAAACCATTTAAAAACGTTACTTACTATAATTATTGTTTACAAATTAACGTTTTTAATGAGGCATCATCTAGTTTTCTTTCTATATGATTAAATTCTTTTTTCTCTAATCTAGTTAGGATGTTCTATCTCGAATTGATATTAGTTGCTCATTCTCATTACTTGGTTAAAAGTTACTATAATTTTGTAAAAGTATTAATTATATAAGAGTAATTTAATTATTTGGCCAT